GGCTCCCGATGGCAGCAAGACGGAGGCGATGGCAGAGGGCTGGGAGCCGGGGCCAGCGCTGGGTGACAAAGACGTGTCCCCCGGGGGGAGCCCGCAGCAAGCGGGACAGGAGCTGGGGCGGCGTGAGGAAGCCCTGATGGCTGAGCTCTCGGAGCTGGTGCAGAAGGTGGTGAAGAGCAGCAGTTGGTGGGAACGGCACGGTGTGGACATCAGCATCCTCGCCTGCAGCTTCCTCCTGCTCCCGGCAGGTAACCTGGCTCAGCCCCCCCAAACCACAGCTGGGGGTGCCGGGGGGGTGAGGGGGAGTCTCAGCACCTCCTCATGGCTTTTGCACCACTGTTACAACTTCGTTTGCGCTGGAAGCCTATTAGCAGCCTATTAAGCCTATAACAAAGCCACAATAACCCCTTCACCCCGTGCCATGGGGCACCCTGACCCCACTGGAAACCCACAGCAGGTGACAATGGTGTCTGGGGTGAGGGGACAGTGCCCGGACAGATGGCTGCAGGGCAGGACAGGAGGGTGATGTGCCCCATCTATGGGGCAGGGGAACCCTGGTGGTTTTGGTGACGATTACCCTGCTGGATGCAGGTGGACACGGGGGACCATGGTGGGAAAACTGCAGCTGGTACCTTCTCTTGCTTTTGAACTCCCGGGGATGCTGAAATCCTGGCAGGGTTGTATTTTTCACCAGTGGGATCCCAGACGGAGCTGCGGGATGGGACATGGCACCAGGAGCACGTGGTGCCATCGTGGCTGGAAGTGGCCAAACGTTCAGCACGATGGTGAACGTGGCTGGTCTGGCCATGTAGGGTGGCGTGGAGGGAAGGTTTCCAGCTTGGGCGCTTTAAATACTTGTAACTGCATCTGAAAAACAGGTTTAGGGCAGCAGCTGTCACGTTTGGGTGTAGCAACACCTCCAGCCCTGCTCAGAGGTGAGGAGGGCAGCCGCACGTGTGCATGGCCGAGCTCCTGCCCGGCTGGTTTCTCCACAGGGTTCCTGTGCCTGCAGTCAGCTCAGGCCGTCCCTTTCCTGGCGGGTGTCCTCACTCTTGGTGTGGTGCATCATACCCTGACGGTGAAGGGCAGCCACCTGGCCAGCCACAACGCCTTGACCGAGTCAAAATCCTGGGGCAAAGTTTGGGCCATCTTCTTCATCGAGGTGAGTGGGGCTGGAGGATTCAGGTGGCAGCACCCCACAAAAAACCCATCAGTGTCTTATCAGCACCCCAGGCCCTTCAGGAACAGCCACCAGAGAACAAGATGGATCCAAACCCTTCCTGATCCATGTGCAGGAGAATTAAATGAAAAGCAACTCTACACCAGGGAGCACCAGGAGCATCCCTGCTTGTGGGGCTCTGCCTAGAGGCAGCGGGGCAGGGGCTGAGCCAGGGCTGAGCTGACTGGGGATGGCCCAGTGATGTGCTGGGCTGTGGGGTTTTGTGTCTGTCCCCTTGGTGGCAGGACTGCACAGCAGGATAATGGGGAATGGTGGGAATGTTTTCCAGTGCTTAACTCTTAAAAAGTCCATTTCCAGACTGGTTTAGAGCCTGTGGGGTGCAGAGCATCTCCCCTGGGTGCTTCTTTCTGGGTGCAGACTATCCTCCCTGGGTACCTCTCCCACAAGCCCATGCCAAGCAGTGCCCGACCCTGGTGCCATGGCTGTAGGCATTGCCTCTACTTTTTCTTCCCTCCCAGCTCTGCTCAGCTTTCACAGCTGAGCAGGCCACCTACAACCACGTGAAGATCCACCATGGCTACACCAACGTCATTGGCCTGGGGG